CCCCTGCTTGTGTTCCCTCTCTCGCTGTGTCCCTCTCTGTCAAATAAATAAATAAATAAAATCTTTAAAAAAAAAAAAAAAAGAAATGTGTATTTATACTTTACGTGTCTGTTGATCGTGTATCGTTCTATTGGTGAAAAGAATCATTTTATTGCCTCGTTGTCCAGTGGATCATGACAAAGACATGAGGAAGTTATTTATGTTTGAATATTTATTTTCAACTAGCTGTTTTACTAAACTTGATCAATGTAATTGTCCTCAAATTTCTCTCCAGTTTTCCAGGAGGATGGTGATATCATCCACAAACAATACCTGTGCCTTCTCCCTCTGGAATTAAATTCGTCCAGGTACAGCTTCCGTGTTGACTTTCATTCCCTGGTGTTTCTGGAGCCGTGGGGATAGGGGGCCTCTGCCACCAAGGGTCACAGGGCGGCCACGGCACCTGTGGCCTGCTTGGGACGCGACCACTTCAGGCAGATGACATGGCATGGCGCAGGTGCCCTGGGCCCTGACTCCTGGGTTTTCATCTAGAACGGCTCCTGCCTCTGCTGGCCCTCCTGGCCCCGGACCCTGGACACAGTGACCTTGCCCTAGTTTTAGGTGGAAACAGAGGTTTCCAGCACTGACCCTCCCCCCTGGCCATTTGGACCGTCCCTCCTTCATGCTTGAACCACCTGCACAACATCCAGAGTTGCTGTCATCTCTTGACAGAACATTCTAGAAGCCGCCCAAGCGTCAATAAGAAGATCTTCGTGCTTTCCAGCTGGCTACCAGGGGAGCTGACGTGAACAGAGGACGCAGCAGTAGAACCAACCCTGAGGCGGGAGCCACCACGCTGTTTCTGAGTTGTAGGTGCCCGAGAGCCTCCAGCTACAGACAGTCACCAGGAGTCGCCAAAAGGAAACGTTCACCTCTCCCATGAGAAAAGTTCTGTTTTCAGCAACAGTGCCGAAGACCGGAGGGAAGGACAGAATCAGGGCTGAAAGCAGCAATGATTTTACCGCCAAACCAAGGGCATCAATCACCCGCCTTCCGTGGTTGCTCACACTGTCTTTTCCTCCGACCGCGGACGTTGGCGGCCAGGATTTGCCGTGCCCGCTGACGGGCCACCTGCTACCTCCGTCCGAGGACGCAGTGTGCCGTGGTCAGAAGTCTGTCTGGATTACTCACTGAGTTTTCCACTGTGGTGCTGCCAGTTTGGTTTCTACCACGTAAACCCCGTGGCTGTGCTTTCTAAGATTCAGGGAGCAAAGATGAAGGTGATGATACCTACGTCAGTGGGACCCAGACATCACCAGACACACAGGCAAGTGACAGCACTGGTTCGGGACCGGGGCGGGGGACACAGAGCTGGGGTACAGAGGTGAGCAACCAGAGCTCCCTGCACGGTGTGCATGAGGGAATTTGGAAGCAGCCCGAGTGTCCATCCATAGATGAATGAATGAAGAAGAGGTCGTATATGTGCGGATGGAATATTACTCAGCCATCAAAAAGAATGAAATCTTCCCATTTGCAATGATGTGGATGGAGCTAGAGAGTGTTATTCTAAGTGAAATAAGTCAGGGAAAGACAAACACCATATGATTTCACTCATATGTGGAATTAAGAAACAAAGGAGCAAAGGAAAAAAAGAGAGAGAAACCAAGAAACAGACAGGTACCTCTAGAGAACACACTGCTGGTCACCAGAGGGGAGGTGGGTGGGGGATGGGGAAACAGGTGATGGGGTTAAGGAGTGCACCTATCGTGATGAGCACCGGGTGATGTAGGGAAGTGTTGAATCGCTATAATGTACACCTGAGACTAATACTACACTGCATGTTAACTCTACTTCAGTAAATAAATAATTTGGATGCATGAGTACATAGGAATACAGAACCTTACAAGTCTAGGATCAGATGGAAAGATCCTTCTAAGTCAATCAGAAGATCATTTTCTGTCTCCACCAAAACCACAGATGCTGGGTTAAAAACAGCAGCTGTTCAATAGTTAGCCTTGGTCGGTGCCGACTGAGTCCCACACTCACGTGCCCTTGCTCTCTGACCTTGGACAGTTTAGTTACACAGGCAAACCTCACCTTGCTCATCCATACACCGGTTAATCCCTACGCACCAGGATTCCAGAGAGTAAATAAAATAAGGTGTCCGGAGTCAGCTGAGCTGTATGGAGCGCAGATCTGGGTTCATCTACTGGCCAGACCTGAGTCTCTCCTGCAGACTGTTTCCTTCCATGTAACATGAGGGGATGGCTGAGTCCCTTTCCCCACATCGTCTTTGTGGCCCAGACTCCCGGTGGGCTCCGAGGGCTGGAGGAAGCAAACGCAAGCATTCCTGAAGGCAGGACCTACCAGCCCCTTCCGTGCCAGACCCTCCATCCCAGCTCCACAGATGCACCACGTACCATCATGGAAACAATGACAGGGACTTCAAGGGGCCAAGAGAAATACAGCGAGCGATATATAAGCCAGATGTGTGTTGTCTAGACAATTTAACATCATGACCAAATCCAGTTCCACAAATCCAATTATCTGCAGCGCCCCCTCCCACGCCGGAAGGTCTGTCTTTGCCTCAGACAGAATCGCTAACATTTAACCTCAGCTTTGCACACTGCCGTGAAAGGAATGAATGGCATCGGTCAGAGAGGGAGGGTGGAGGGAATCGTGGCCCGTCTGTGACTCTCCAGGAACAACGGGAAGTCGAAGGGCCCTACACGCGGACCTTGGAGCATTCTTCGGGGCTGAATCAAATACTGTGAGAGCCGTGGGTGTATCTGACATTGCAGGCTTGTCCCTCCCATGCCAGGCCAGCACGGAGATGTCTGGGGAATATCCGTGAAACGAGAAGTCTAGGATTCTGCAGAAGATTCTAGGTCTGTGTGGGATTAAGAGAGACAGCTGGTCTGGAGCCGCCTAGATTCTCGTCCTGGTATCTCCAACAAGCCCATGCTGGCTCGGAGCCTGCCTTCCCAGAGGTCAGAAGGAGATAAAACTTTTATAACATAGACATCAGAAGAGTTACATTCTGTCATATTCATATTTCGTGTGTGTATACGTGCATTTCTGTTGAGACGCCTAGCCGCCGGGCTCGGAATGAGTGTCTGTGTCTCCCAGAAGGAACTGGCCTCAGAGACAATAAAAGCACATCATAACAAGAAGTGATCAAATGAATGACAGTGATGTGCGTGGGAGCTTTGCGGGGTACCCTGGATTGTGGACCATGCTGAGCAAACTTTCTCTGCATCTTAGGATGCGCTAAAAGAGAAGAAAGAGAAAATACAGCTTTTCTTGTTGACTCTTAACCTGGGCATTTTTCTTGGCTAAAGTATTCAGGAAACATTAGGTTTGGCTTTCAAGAAACACTCAACTAAGCGGTTTCTAAAATGCAGAGGTTAGTTTCTCACTCCCAGAAAAGAAGTCTGGAGGTAGAAGTCCAGGGCTGGTGGCCAGCCCCACAGTTTCATCTGTGAGTCGGCACCTTCTGCGCTTAGAATGTGGTTTCTTCCCATTTGCCTCATACTCCGAGGTGGCTGCTGGAGCCCCAGCCATTGCATCAGTGCTCCAGGTAGGAAGAAGGAGTGAGGGTAGAAGAACAGACATCCCAGCTGCCAGGACCTCTAGAAAAAGGATCCGAAATCGCCACCTAATGACTTACTTCAGATCAGTGACACTGGGTCTTTGGCTGGGGACACTGCCGCCTGAAGGACACAGTGTGTTGTGTTCCAGGGCAAGAGGAAACGTGGAAATCAGGCAGCAGCCAACAGTCTCAGCTATGGCTAAAAACACTGATTCCCCCTGGAAGAACAGAATGCGTCTCATCGGTTCAGGAAGTGTCCCCACACGCCTGCAAGGTGCCCTTGCTGGCCACTGTGTCCCATCAGCCACTGCAGTGAGCAGAGCACCTGTGAAACACAAGGGAACACACCCGCATTAGGGCCCATAGAGATGGGGCACCAGCCCGACTGAGCACCGAGCCGCTGGGCTGCCCGAGCGCCGGCCGCTCCCCTGCCGGACCCCCTGTCCCTCGCCCTTGAAAGGAGGCAACCAGACCCGCCCGTGGGCAGCAGGGACCACAGGTGCTCCTCGCATCCGTGCGCTGAGCTCACACTCAGAACCACTCTCGACTCGGGGATCGCATCGGCAGGTACGCCAGCGGTGGTAGCAGGGGGGTCTATGTCCGCCATCCTCCGACTGCCTGCCAGCCAGGATTCTCAATGCTCTGCACACACTGACTCACTTAAATCTGTAACAGAAACCTTACGGAGTAGGCAGTTAATGCCCCAGGTTGCTGCCGAGGGAATGGAGGAGGGTGACTGTCCCACCAAGACCATGCAGAGAGAAACCTGGAAGCTGGCCGTCCCCTGGGGATCCTGCGTCCGGAGCCTGCCCAGATGCACGGAGCCTTAGCCTCTACTCCCCGTGGTGCCCTCGTGACTCTCTGTGGCCCTTCTGGGGCGAAAGACCCTCTCGTTGGTACAAACACTCTGTCATGCCCATCGCAGGTGCAAGGTGGCCCCGGGGGGCATCCCCTGATCTCGGGTACACAGGGCTCCAGGCGATGCCGTCGTGGGTGAGGTAACACCTGGGGGTCCGCAAACCCCGAGAGCCCACCAGGAACAGCATGGCAGCTCCAGACGTGATCTCCTCGCCACACCCGCAGAACGTCTAGCTATAAGCTTGCGACCTTCCCGGTGACCGCACGTCCCTGAGCTTTGCTTCGTGATTGGTAAGGTGGCGTTCCTGTGATACCTGGTTCCCACGAGACAGCAGCGTGCGTGAAGGCGCTTGATGAACAAGCAGAGGCCCGTGACTGGAGGAGCACCCGGTAGGGGCTTTGGGGAAACAGAGCCGGCTGTGAGCCCGGGGCTGCTCTGGGCCGAGGCACCAGCTCGAGAATGCTGGCGTCTTCCATCTCGCACACACACCTCCTGCCGGGTGGGGGCCGACGGCATGTGTAAAGCATCTAGAACGACAAGACTTGGCACATTCTTTCCTGGATCTTTCCCGAGCTGGCTTCTAGAAAATCTCCTCTTAGCATTGTTCCCTTAACTAAACACAGCCTGGGCCGAAAGCACATCCTCCTCGCAACGCTCCCCGTCCCACACGGAGCCGCCGTAGTGCTGTGTTTACCGCTGGGACTCAACACGTGCTCGCCTGACTCCTGCACACACACGTCCTGACGCCTGGCAGGTACGCGCCCGAAACTAACCCGGCAGAGGCATCTCCAAAGGTATCGGAAGCCAAATCCCGGCCCACCCACTGGCGCGTGTGAGCACAGGGAAGCACCACCAAGGACAATGACGAGAGCATCCACAGTGAAGGCGTGACACGTCTGTTTCCAGAACTACAGTGGGTTCGGTTACTGAAACCCATTTTCCCGCCGAGAACAGCTAAAAATGCTGGATTAAATGTAAAGACAGGATAAACATCACAGAGTCTACAAGACGTAAGGCACGACAAGACCGGGTGCAAAGAAGGGAGGAGGAAGGCAGAGACACAAGGGCAGGGAAGAAACCTCGGACTCAGAGGCCGTGTTTACTCCGAAAGCCCAGAACTTAAATGTGGCTCCTCGCGGCGCCAGCTCGCTGACATCACAGCCCAGGAAGGGAGCCCACTGGGGGGTCCATGAGGGCCTCCCCCAGGTTGAGGAGAGTCAGTGTCTCTGTCCCGCCCAGGAGGGGCCCACAGGTAATGCTCCAGGCCTGGGCAGAGCTGTGTGTGTGCATGGGTGTGGGGGGGGTGTACGCACATGTGTGCATGTATATAAACATGTGTGTGTGTGTGTGTGTGTGTGCTGGGAGGGGAATTGCTGCAGGACTGCAACCAAAAGGTGGCTTTCACACGACGTGTCGTCCCCAATGTCAGCACTTGAGTTGTTTGGGAGAAAAAGAGAAAACGTTCTCAGTCTATGAAAACGCCCCCCTAGGGGCATTGCTCTGGGGTAATTGAGAGAAGCCAGTGGGAGTCCTGTGAGTATCTCTCCGGACGAAGGAAGCTATGGGGTGGAGCGTGGAGACCAAGAAGGAGGGGGGAGGAACAGGGAGAGGAGCTACGGGAAGCGAGGGTGGAGAAGAGGCTGGGAAACAAGGGGAAGACAGACAGGCAGTGGCCACAGGGATTGGATGGATGATGATAAACGTTGAGAATTCTCCAGAACTGACTCAAGAATCCTTTCAAATCCCCAAGAGGACACGCACAAGACATTCCCACCAAGATAGAGCCTGGTCAAAATACAGGCAAAAAAATAAAAATCAAAGAGACAGAGAAATCTTCAAAAGGGCTGTGTGGGAGGCAGAGGTGGGGTGTCTGCACGGAGCTCACGGAAGATGCCGGCCAGACCAGAGTCCTGGCAAAAACATCTCCCAGGAATGGGGGCAGATAGAGAGTCTTCTAGGCAGACGCTGAGACAGCGTGCCTAGCAGACTCCCACTGGGGAAGATTCTCAAGGACACACTTGAGGCCGAGCAGAGCAGTCCCAGATGGGAGGCCAGAGGTACCAGAAGGAATAAGGAACAGAGAAAGCGGTGGGCGTGGGAAGCCATCCGAATGAACACTGACCATCCAAGACAACAGAAGCATCTCTGATGTGTGCGAGCTTAAACAGAAGGCAGAATCCAAATTCACCTGCCTGGTAACAAGGAGTGAGAGAGGGACAACAGTCGAGATGCTGGGATGTGCAAAGGCCCTGCAGCACCCAGCTGGGAGAGGACGAGGTTTGTGGCCGGCATCCGACACAGGGCAGTCTTGGGGGATGAGCCCCAGAGGATGACGTACGGGGTCTGCACTGATCCCCAGTCATTAGTGTCAGAACTAAATTGGATGATGTGACACATAGGGTAGAACTGGAAAAGCAGCCGTCAGAGGCTAATATAACCACCGTCTCCTAATGGAGACCTCACCGCCTTCCGGGGTCTGGCCCACCTGAGTCCCGGGTCCTTCCCTATCCCTTCATCTTGCCTCTGGAAATTTCTTTTCTCTCCTTGTGCACACCTTCTCTGAGCCAAGCCCACTTCCCCACAGACCCTTACCCCAAGCTGAAGAACCCCGTGTCCACCGCCAATCACCAGGAGACCCGTCTCCCGGGACGCACTGCGTGTTCAAGCCAGGCAGCCCCTACCGCCCTGAAGCATCTTCGGCTAGGGCTTTGGGAAAGCTGCCAGGAAGGGCAGTGGGGGAAATGGGACTGGCCTCTCTCGAGTGCCCTCCGAACTGTGTGAGGGTCTTCATGGTCACAGCTGACAAGACACCACTGCCCCAGCTGCCCGCCTCACCGGGAGCTTGCCGGAAACGTGGGCTCTCGATCCCACCTGGCCCTTCCGTAAGAGCATCTCCTTGCACGAACTCCCCCTGGTCCACGTGGACATTGCGGCGGGGCGCAAAGAAGACCCAGCCCCCGGACACTGGAGGATCAGCGCGACCTCGCAGGCACGTTCCAAACTCCGAAATGTGAGCTTCCTGACACATCTGTACAAAGGCAGCCCCCAGAATACGCTCAAACAGCAACAGCCAAAGCACGGTGCACCAAGCGGCCAGGAGGCCCCGTGCCGGGGACGGACACCGTCCCGACTCCGCATGCCTCTCTTCCTGCGCGCTCTTCTTCTTGGGTCAGGACTGCTGTGCTTTCCAACCCACTCTCCACTGAAATTCTTCCTGAGATTTTGTAGATGCACCCACAGGTGAAGAAGTAATGCAGAGACATCCCACGTACGCATTACCCACTTTCCCTGGGTAGTAATATCTTGTCAAATATGCGGCAGAATTCTAATATGGCGTCACGTCACACCAGGACATTCAGGTTCGCACAGGGCGTCGATCCGGGTTCACAGCCCTAGAGGGTGTGTTAGAGGGTCGCGTCTGTCTGCGTGTCTGTGCGTGTCCTGTTGTACGCAGTGTGCCCCCCGGGGTAGTTTTGTGTGCTCAGCTCCACCGTCGACACGCTGAACAGTCCACACTGCGCACCCCCTGTGCTGACCCTCCCCGGTCCCCGTGGCCGTGTCCCCTGGCACACAAGTCATCGGCCATCCACTGTGAATTCTGTCATTTCAAAAGCGCCACGTGAGTAGGATCTTAAGGTGTGTGACCTTTGGGACTTTTCTCCCACTCAGCCTAATCTGCTGAAAATCCCTGTGTGGCGTCACCGGGGTGCTCTTTACTGCCGAGCGGTATTCCAGAGCACAGACGCGGGCGGCACGTCCCCACTCGCCATCGGCGCGCGGCGGGGCTGCTTCCCAGGTGGCCGTTGCAAACGGCCTCGGACATTCGCACGCACGTTGGTGTGTGAACGCGTTTCCGCGCCTCTGGGATGAATGCCAAGAGCGCAGTGTCGGTCACACGCCCGCTGTGTCCTTCGTCCCCAGAGAACCTGGCAGATGGTTTCCCGGAGTGCAGACACCCCTGAGCGCGGCCACCAGGGGCGGGTGGCACAGCCCGTGTCCCCACAGCCCCGCCAGCATCAGGCTGTCTCTGTTTCCACCTGAGCCGTTCCGAGACAGGTGTGGTGACGGCTCACTGCAGCTGGGTGTGCGTGTCCCAGCGACCAAGGGCGTAGTGCTGTCTTTGCTGTCATTCTACCCTCTTCAGCGAAACGTCTCTGCGTAACTCTGCCTATTTTGTAATTGGCTTGCTTTTCTCGGCCGTTGGAGTTTGCGTGTTCTTTGCATGCTGTATATACTAATCCCTTGTCACATGTTGGCCAGTGTCCACAGCCACGGTTTTCACTTGGATGAGATCCACTCCGCCCGTTCTTTAACGGCTCGTGCTTTCGGGACCGCGTCCGAGAGCTCTTTCCGAGCCCTCGATTCGAAGACGTCCTTGACGGAATCTTACCGAAGTTTTCTGACGTTGAGTGTGCGGCGAAGCCCGCGAGGCACTCGGAGCGAACCGCCGCGTCAGGAGTGAGACCTGGCGTGCGCAGAGCCGTCCATGCGCTCCAGCATGACCCAGAGGTGCCATATGCCCCTGCACCTTCGTCAGAACCCACCGGATCCTGTTCCAGTCACTCACCGGAGGTTCCTGCCCAGAGCTAAGTCCAGATTTATTTCACTGTTTGTCTTGTCTCTTGCCCATATGGACACCTCACTGCCCCAGCCCACTGTGTGTTGGAAAGACCGTCCTTTCTCCACTAAATGGGTTCTGCTCCTCTTCGAAGACCCGTGGGGCTGTGTTGCTCGGGTCAGTTCCTGGGCTGTCCGTGCTCTTCCCTTGCTGTGTCTGTCTGTCCTTCTGCCAATACCACACGGGGCTATCACAGCCACGTCCTAAGACGCTGTAAGATACGCTGCTTCCTCTCATTTATTCCTCTTGATCAAGGTTTTTATCTATTCGGAGGCCTGCGCTCTTCCATGGGGACTAAAGAAAAAGTTGACGTCTTCAGAATACGGGCCTGGGATTTGACGAGATTCGCGTTCAACCCACGTGTCGAGCTGGGGAGAGCTGATGTCTTCACCCCATGGAGTCTCCTAATCGACGAACGTGAGACATCTCTCCCTTTAATTTGGTCTTTGTTCCTTCATCGTTTTGTCATTTTTGTCGTACAGATCTCACACCTGTTAAGTGCACATACAATCTCACGTTCCTTGGAGCAGTTATAAATGGTGTTGGGGTTTTATGGCATTGTTATTTTTAATGTGTATTTAAACAACTGATTTCTCTGTGTGCTGATCTTGTATTCTGCAGCCCTGCTGAATTCACTTCTTTAGTTCCAGGAGTTTTGTGGAGGCTTTTTGTAGAGTCCTTATAATCAATATAATCAATGAAGACAAGCATGTCCTCTGCAACAGTGACACTTTTGGTTCTTCCTTTGTGGTCTGGGTTCCTTTATCTCCATGTTTTCACCTAAATTGCTCCAACCAGAGCGTCCAGTACTGTGTTGGATAAGAGTGGTGAGGACACCCCCCCCTCGTGCTGAGTCCTCAGGGAAAGTCACCACCCAGTGTGGCGGGAGCTCTAGGCGGTTCCCAGATGTTCCTCTCCAGATGATGGCATTCCCGCCATCCCTACTTTGCTGAGAGTTCCACCATGAATTTCAGATTTTGTCAAATGCTTTCTGTGCAGCAATTACCGTGATCACGCGATTTTCCCTCTTTAGCTTGAAGATATGGGTGGATTGCATTGCTGGATTCCCAACTGTTGGACCCGCCTTGCATACTTGGAATGAATACCCCTGGTCGTGGCATGTAATTCTTTTTAGGCATTGTGAGATTTGGTGTGCTAGTATGTTGTTGAAGACCTTTGTGTTCGTGACAAATGGTCTGTGCTCTCCTCTCTCCCTCTCCCTGCCAGTCCTTCTGTGTGTGTGTGTGTGTCTCTGTCTCTCTGTCTCTCTTCTCTGTCTCTCTCTATATGTCTCTCTGTCTCTCTCTGTGTCTCTGTCTCTGTCTCTCTCTGTATCTCCCCCTGTCTCTCTCTGCTGCTCTGTCTCTGTCTCTCTCTGTCTCTCTGTCTCTCTTCTTCTCTTTCTGTATCTCTCTCTGTCTCTCTCTGTTTCTCTCTGTCTTTGTCTCTCTCTTCTCTGTCTCTCTCTGTCTCTCTATCTCTCTATATATGTCTCTCTGTGTGTCTCTCTGTCTCTCTCCTTCTCTTTCTGTATCTCTCTCTGTCTCTCTGTCTTTCTGTCTCTGTCTCTCTGTCTCTATCTCTCTCCTTCTGTGTGTCTCTCTCTGTGTCTCTCTCTGTGTGTCTCTCTCTCTCCCCTTCACCGTCTTTTCTGGTTCTACGACCAAGGCAAGGCTGCCTCATACACTGAGTAGAGAAGTACTACATCTCTTCTACTTTCCGGAAAAAGTTTTATAAAATTTATGTCAATTTTTCTCTAAATGTTTGGTAGAATTCTCCAGTGATACCATCAGGCCCCGGAGATTATTTTTCCAGGAGCATTTAATGACAAATCCAATTTCTTTAATGGTCAAGGGCTTATTCAGACTTTTTATTTCATCTTGGTTGTGATTTGGTAGTTCGTGGTTCTCAAGGAATCAGTGCATTTACCTAAGGTACGAACTTATGAACATAAAATTATTTGCATTTTTCCCGTATTATTTCTCCTATATTTCCTATAGTATTTCCTATATTTCCCCATAGTATTTTTCCTGCAGGGCTGCAGAATCCATTGTGCTCTGCCCCATTCTGTTCTGGATAGTGGTGATTTACGTGTGGTCCCTTTTTATTTCTGTTAGTGTTGCTACAAGTATCAATTACTGATTTGGGGGGAAAATAGGTCTTAGTTCTGTTGATTTTTCTCTAATATGTCCCCATTTTCAATTTCATTGACTTGTTGCTCTTACCTTTATCATCTTCTTCCATCTGCTCGCTTTGGGTTTATGCCACTCTTATTTTTCTAGTTTCTTGAGCGGGAACTTGGGTAACTTCTTGCGGCCTTTCTCAGCTCTCCTTCTATGGTCTCCCACAACTTGGACACTCTGTGCTTCCATAATTATCCAGTACTGTGTGTGTTTTCATTTAAAACTTTCTCTTTACTCATACATTTTTTTAGAAACATTATTTAATTTCCCAGAGTTTTCTGATGTCTTTTGTTATTGATCTAAAATTCTATTCCATTAGACTCGGAGAACACACACCTCATTTCAATTGTTGGAAATTGTTGGAGTTGATTTGGGGGCCAAGATATCATCCTGCCTGGTGCGTGGTCCTCAGGCACCTGGAGAAGTGTCTACTCCCTGCTGTGCGTGCAACGTCCTTTTGTGTCCAGGGAAGGGGGAGTCCTGTGTTGTTGGGACCCTGTCCACCTTGAAACTCACCACCAAGTCTCCAGCTTCGAGGGGTCACTCGGCAGGTTCTCCATCTCCATCAGCTTGTGCCTCCTGCGTTTGAGGGGCACACTTTTAGGTTGTTTTTTTCCCCCGAAGATTCTTCCCTTTATCATTATTCAGCATCCCTCTCCGCTGCTGATGATTATCTTGGCTCTGAAGTCAACTTCACCAGATACAAACATCACCCAAACACTGCCTTGTTCAGATAGACTGATTGCTATTGATCACCCCCAAGTCTATCAGTTCTGTCCTCCACCATCCCCACTCCACTATTGAACCCCCCACTACGCTTCTCTTTTTATTTGTTATTTGCCAATTCTATATTTTCCCTTGGCTTTTTGTTGTTTTGTCATTGTTATTAAGAACTGCCTTTTTTTTTTTTGCTGCGATTTTTTTTTTCATTTTTTTTCAAAAGAATTTCCAATAGATTGTGGTAGCTTTTTTTTTTTATTTTGAAAACTGCTTTAAAACCCTTGTCAGGTAATTCCAGGGACTGATTCGTCTTGGTGTGGGCGTCCGTTGACAGTCTTTTCTCATCCGTGCTGTGATTTCCTTGGTTCTTGGTAATGTTTACTGTGTCCTGCATATTTGGTTGGTTATGTAAGCAGACGCCAGGTCCGACTTATTCTATTGCTTCAGCGGGCAGTCACCCTGCTTTGGCTCAGCCCTCTTGGCCCGCTTTGCGGGCTGTGGTTCCAATGGCAGTTAAATTTTCAGAGCCTTCTGTGTTTGTTCTTCTTGGTTTATCTGATGCCGCTGCGTTCCCACTGGCCCCCGTTTGTGCTGCCTGAAGAGTAGATGTGCTTACCCCAAGTCTAGCCGTGGGAGGAAGAGGTGAAGTGAGACTTTACTACCTGGTCCCCCTTTCTTGTCTGAACAGCATGGAGAGCTTGGGCTGAGGGGACAGTCCCATGGACCAGGCTGCTTGCTGTGAATAGCACACTCTCTTCCTTGCCCACCTTGGTGTCTCCAGGTAGAAAATAGGGCTCCAGCCCATTAGGAAAGGAGGACACCTCCCCTGGCTGCAGAGCTGTCCATCGGTGTCTCCCTGAAGTGGTACAGGATTGCCCGATGCTCTGAGCCGACCTCCCGTTCAGTCCCGGTGAGGGATGCTCCTGCCAGGTCTGCCTTCTGCTGCAGGGTGAGTCAGGCAAAGGCCTGGCTGGGTGGCCCCTCTGTTCCGTGAGGGGCACCAAACATCCTGCTACACCGTCCTCCCACCGAGGGGTCCCAGTCTGGCTTGCCTCCTTCCCTCTGCCTTTCAGAGTTTCCTTGGGTTCAGAGCCATGCCCAGGGACAGAAAGTCCAGCCGTTACGAAGTCAGAGCGCTTCGAGTGGGCAGCAGGGAGCACGTGCTGTGGGCCAGGCAAGCCGCAGGCCCTGTGCCTCTTCGCCCTCTGCCAGGAATATTCTTAACTATACAGTTCCATAAATAAGATTCATGTTGTCATTTCTTCCTGCCAGATGTGGTAGAAAAGGGGAAGAGAGAGCTAGAGCGTCTGTCCGTGTGCGGGCGCGCTGTGACGGATACTCGAAGGGGGAGCCGCGAGACAACCAAGGAAAGCGAGCAGAGCACGGTCAACCGGCAATTCACAGAAGGCCCCTTTGGGGTCCGCTGAATGCCCTAACCTCGCTCACAATGACGGAATCGAAGCAAGGACAATTGTCGTGTGCAGCTCACACTGCACACACCACCACGCTCGGTGATGCCGCGTGCTTTGAAGTTACTGGAAATGCTCTCTGTTAACGACTGATAACCCGCGGGGGCACACATACTGTGAGTGCAGGGGGACCCACACCCACGGACTCCGTGTGGCAGGAAGTGATGGAGAAACATTGTAAATATTCAGCAGCAAGCTATAAATAGTGGTTAAATAATTACAGTTCACTGAAACAATGAAACATAATATAGTCATGAAATACTCTCCAAGTGATGAAATGAGAATCCCCCCAGAGATCCTCCCCGAAAGAAGCCACATGAGAGAAATGTGCAAACTGTGCACTCTCACTGACGAGAAAACAGGAAGCAGAGCAGGACCCTCAGTTTCCTGACGCTTGCAGAGTTCTGTGTGCACCACACAGAAGGCGGGAGCCAGGGTGGACGCTGGGGCCGCAGGCCGGCCAGGAGGCGTGCTTGCCTCATGCAACATTTCACTACACCTGAAGCTTCTACTTCAAGTGAATGTCTTCATTAAAAATGATATGTTAAAAAATGCAGTATTTTTTGCAGCTAGAATTTGAAACTTCATCAGATAAAATAAGAGGAAAATAAATAAGGTGAGAGACAGAGAACAGATCCTATTTCCAAACTCACTTATTTTATTTTTTTTTAAGATTTTGTTTATTTATTGGAGAGAGAGAAATAAGAGAGATCACAGAGCGAGAGGAAGAAGCAGGTTCCCCGCTGAACAGGGAGCCCGATGTGGGGCTCGATCCCAGGACCCTGGGATCATGACCTGAGCTGAAGGCAGACACTTAACGGACTAAGTCACCCAAGCACCCCCCAAACTCACTTATTTTAAACAAGACTTGACATTGGCTGTTTGAGAAGCCCGGGGCCCCAGCACGTGTAGGCATGACTTCATTACAACTGTGCCGTTTAGAAAGCATTCTCTTGCCTATAACAACCGAGTCCACACAATTAACACAAAATGCATCTCTCACATCTGTTCATTTATGAGGCTCTTTCATTTTTAAATTCCAACCCAATTTTGAAAGTCCGAGTTTCAGGAACTCAGTAGGTGCTGCTCAATGGAGACACAACAGTGACAGAGGACGGAACACAGCACGGAGCCCTGTCCCTGCCCCTCGGAGTGGCAGTCCCTGGCAGATCCCGAGCGCCTCGGGATGCACGCGTGTTGACCTGCTGGAGCCGGCCCTGCGGGTCCCCGGGGATGAGCCCTGCTGACGGAGGCCAGGGGAGTCCCTGTTAATTAGGGACAGGAACGCTGCTTTGCAGTAGAAGGATGGGTAATCCCAGCTGCCACAGCCAGACCCAGCTTGTTCTCCGTGTCAGGAATTCTCTCTTACACACGCTTGTTATTTTTAGATTTGGGCCCTTGGGGCACGACCAGCTGATTCAGTGCTCCCCAAACTATTAGTACACCGCCATCACACAGCAAGTTTTAGTGTGAAGTCACAAATGACACTGAAAACAGCCTGTGGGGTGTGCTCAGAGGATGGACAAGCCAGGCGGGGGCTTTATCCTCAGGCCAGGGCAAAGTGGGTTCAGGATCCTCAAACGACGCAGTTTAGGAAAGAGCGATCCACCAGTTAATTCATCTGGGCATCTTTTTCTTAGAACAAATAGGCTGTGCCAGATAAAATCAGGGCACGCGGCTGCGTCACGTTGGCGCCTGGTGGAATCCGCGGGCAATCGGGGAGAGACACACACGTCCGGGTGGTGACAATACGAGGCCAGGATCAGTAATTCCCCAGGTAATCTTCCTCACCACCCACCCCACACAAAATCCCTCCCGGGGCCTCCCTGAGAGATGTCACCTGGGAACCGCGTGCATTCGCCTGGGCGTGTCGAGCGATCCTGGGGTGACACTCCTCAGGGAGGAGAAGTCTGAGTAATGGTGGCCCCGTGCCCGTCCCACTGGGTGGGGTGGGTCGGTCCCCTGGCCCCGAGCGGGAGCGCGGCTTTTGTAGATTAAATCGACACCCTGTACCCCGCCTTGAAGCACGCAGGGCTCTTCCCAGAGGTACCTTTGGGGTGAGATGTGCTCCCCATCCAGCCTGTGAATGGGGGCCTCACTGAAGCCTGGGGTCTGGATGTCCTGGGGGTCCCTTCGGTGCTCACCCAGACTCCCTGAAAACCAAAGGTTCCACTTTGCATCGTAAGAAGGGAACGATGGCCCCCATGGGTATTTGATAAACATTAGCACCCTCCTACTGCAGCGGTTAGAAAATCTTGCCTGATGAAGGTCGAGTTTACAAAGTCAAAGGCTGACTCTGCCCTTGCTGGGCCTGAACGTTGCCAGAGGAAAAGCAGAGTGAGGGGCCCATGTCTTCTCATCACAGAGGTGAAGGTGAGCCCTGCTTGGCAGACAGAAGAGAGAAGTCAATTTGCAGGTCAGCTGTGGTCCCAGACTTGGGGGTTGCTGCTCACCCAGCACCAGAGGGGTAGAAAGCTGGCCTGGGAAGTCCGCAATTCACAGTTTAATCAAAATGGAAGCGTACAAAATGATTACGTGCCGCGCTCTCCTGAGGGCAAAGCAGTGGGAATGTCCCCCTGGCTGCAAGCAATAAGGGGTGCATTGTCTGTGGGAAACTTAAGAACCACAATAAAGCTCAGGAAAAGTCAGGGTGGTTTTATTATCACTATTTGTGGGCAAAGTGAAAAGTGATAACATGCTCCTTCCCACCAAAATCTGTCGTCGGGTCTGTGGTTGGGGGATTCTGCCAGAAGCACACATTTCTAGAGAAAAATTGTAAGGCTTAGAAACCCCAGAGGTTCGATCTGAGTGCGGTGTGTGCACCCCACATCCGACAGAACTTGTCAAAATTAGTTTGCTTCGGCTGTCTCGTGCATAAGGCATACATACCACTGGCCACGTGGTCGGGAGTGCATCTGAAGGTTATTTTGTAATGAAATTAAGGCCCAGGACAGGGAAGTCAGTTTCCTGGATCACACCACAAAACAGTGCAATCGCAGGGCTCCGATCTTGATGCTCTGAGCCCAGAAAAGGCACTCTTTCTGCTACCCAGAAATAAGTCCTTAAAGAGAACACGCCAAGCGAAGGTAAGGTCAACGATGTTGGTGTGTTCTCTGTGTCCAGACACTGGATTTGGAGCCGCGTGTCCAAGTTCCGAACCAGCTCCACCACATTTCTGCACGACCCAGAGCAGGTGACCTGAGCTGTCAGAACTGACGTCCGAGTCCTACCGTAGGCACCATCTGGGACACCTCTCCCATCCGTCGCTCCACATGCTGGGTGTGAATGTCCCCTCCCCTCATCCCTTGTCTGGCACAGAGTCCAGCCTGCAGATGTCACCTAAGTACTTTAAAGACCAGCTGGTGAGAACCGTGGCCAAAGATATCCTGCAGAAAGACAAAGACAGAGAAACTCCCTCTTTACATTTTCATGTTGCAATTTCAACCTTCTGAAAGGAAGGAAGCAAGGCAGCTGCTGCTTCTTCTTCTGCTGCTTCTTCTTCTTCTTCTCCTCGACAAGCAGAAATAGTTGAATATAATTATCTCACTGTCCCAGTTAAGACACATATAGGAGATGGCTTTTTGCTATCATGCTTGTACAAGCCAAAATGTCACTGCAGAAATAATTAGGGTTTTATTTAGCTATTCTAGCAACATCAAGTGTTTAATGTCATAGTGTCTTGCATGCACAGAGAGGAGGCTGCAGGGAAGATGGAGCTCTATAGGGTTTAGAAGTGGGTTCTGCTGGATCATGGCTTCAGTCCGTTCGAGAGATCACGGAGGGACCCTCCTGAGTGAGGCATGTGTGTGCAGCTGGGTCTAACTGTGCAGGGAGGCTGCTTGGAGCCCCCTCAGATGCAGCATCTGCAGAAGCAGGAGCTCGGCAGGCTGTTGCAAGCTGGGGGGTGGGAGACCTCCACACACTTACCTAGGGGAGTAGACACACCCAAGTGTAGAACACGAAAAATGCCTATTTTAATTTTTAAAAGGTTGTGTATTTTTTCTGAAGTTACACTGCCCTAGAAGTTGTTTTGATGTTTTTACTCTTATTCCTAACAGTAATTTATGTTTCCCTAAAAATCTTCTTTAACAGACTGGGGGAGAGTAGACAGTACAAGGTGCTTCCCCCTGTGATCCCAGCAATGACCCAACACCAACCCACTTGCTGCACTTTGAGGAAAGTAGAATGAATTCAATGCCATGATTTGTCCACAGTCACTCAGTAAAATGAGAAGCTGCCTGAGCAGAGACCTAGAATGGGGGCTGAGATAAGAGGAAGGAGAGGTAGCATCAGGAGCTCAAGGCTGGAAGTCTTCCAGAACCAATAAAAAGACAGATGGTGAGGATCAGTGCAGCAATATAAGACACATAATAAGAAATCTGCTGCTAGACACACTGTTTGAAAATCATAGAAGACAAGAGGAATCTAGAAAGTAGACAACAAGGAATAACAGAAGACTTCCCAAAAAATCCCAAAAGTCAGGATTAAAAAAACTAAATCTATCTTTATGGCATCCACAAGAAACACATCATATATGAAGGCATAAAGAAAGGTAAAAGAATGAAAAAAATCATATAAATGTTAAATAAAACTGGAAGAGCTGTATTGATCTCAGAAAAAGTAGAGCTCACAACAAGGAAGATAAATCAGAGATAAAGATGTGCATTACCTAAAAAATGGGTTGACTCAACAAAAAAAAAAAAAAGAGAAGAAAACAATCCGAATCATATAGGCACCAAATAAGAGAATTTCAAAATTCATGAGGCAAAAATGGGTAGTCATGAAAGGAGACATCCACAAATCCACAGTTATGGTTCAAATGTCAACACCCTTCTTGCATTATTTCATACAATATGTAGGCAAGAAGTCAGAGAGGATACACAGCCCCTGAACAACATTATCAACCACCTCAACTTAAATGATGTTAATAAAAAAGTCCACTTAACAACGCAGAATATACATTATGGTTAAAGCCCACATGAACATTCACCAACATACATCATATTTGGGTAATAAAACAACTCTCAACGAACTTAAAAGAACAAGATCATATAAATGGAATGAATGGAATTAAGCTAGAAATGGTAATACCAAAAATAAGTGAGAAAATACATAAATGTTTTGCAATAAAAACATACATTTCTAAATAACCCATGGGACAAAGAAGACTCCAGGGAAAAAAGTCATTTGAACTTAATGAAAACACAAAACACTGAAATTTCTGCAAATCATCTAAGGCAGTGCTTAGTGAGAAAGGTTTAGCCTTAAATGTCTATACTAGAAAAGAAAGAAAAAATCAGAAATGAATAGTTTAAAATGCCACCTTAAGAAACTATAGAAAGAGGAGCAAATTTGACCTAAAGTAAGTGGAAGGAAGGAAGTCCTATAATTATAGTAGAAAATAGTAAAAACCGGGCGCCTGGGTGGCTCAGTGGGTTAAGCGTCTGCCTTCGGCTCAGGTCATGGTCCTGGCATCCTGGGATCGAGTCCCACATCACGCTCCTTGCTCGGCTGGGGGGAGGTCTGCTTCTCCCTCTGCCCTTCCCCCTGCTCATGATCTCTTTCTCTCATGTTCTCTCTCTCAAATAAATAAATAAAATCTTGGGGAAAAAAAGGAAATAGTAAAAATGGATAC